AGTAATAATAGTATGAGTAAATTGGACTTTTTTGTAATTGTAGGTATAATAGTGCAAAACTCATCACGCTCAGTAATTATAGAACAATAGTACAAATTCTCGTTAAGAACTACACCTCATAATCTTTCATATTTATCAAGTCAGTTTTTTTATATCGTTATGTTTTCTTCAACACGTCAAATGATCATAATTAACAAATCCCTTGTCATGGCAGATGGAATACCTCGTTAGAGTTCATCGCAAATGCTCACTAACATGAAACTCAGTCAACTGATTGACAACTCATCGCAGGTGCCGGAAAAAGTAACAACAATCGTTAGGGGATGGTTAAAACTTAAACAATTTTGAAAATCGAACCTCAATCAAAGTGGTTTCAGTTTATAAATTTCATTCTAATACGACTTTTCTATACGTATACATAATCAACTCAATAAGGATCACAATTCAGCTATATGGGTAAAATTTTTTTTTTCACTTTCACTTCATGAACAGAGGATTAAGTTAACAAAAGGGTTAAGTTCTATTCATTTCAAAGATATTTATAATATATATAATTGATAAAATTAAATTACTTCTCTAACCCATTTCATTATATCCATTTTGTTTTCTAAAAATGTATTTCATTAAAGTGTGGACGTCAACTGTAATCAATAGCTTTCTACAACACGAAGAACGTACATATGCTTCTGCATAGATTCTGATTAGAATGCTTAAGCACGCTGCAAAAATCTAATTATTGATGATTTTTTATACTTTAACCGCTTATCGTAGGCCTATAATATTTTAGTATGTTATTTCAGACTAGAAAATCTCTCGTTATGCAAAGTTTCATAAATATCTTCAGAATTATTTTTCAAAATTTATTACGAAGAAACGGTCTGGCCAATATTCACGAAAAATTAATCACTTTTTTAAACTTTTTATTTTCAATATTTAAAAAAAGGTGTGGAATCATTGCAATTTTTTGAGAAATATACAAGGTATTTTTTGAGAAATATACATAGCATTTTTTTAAAGAAATATACAAGTTATATTAATTACAGAATTTGAGGAATTATGTTATACTATGTAATTAATATCAATAAAATATCTATACAAAAATATATTGATTCTCATGTCAATCGACAGTTTTAAAGTAAATTTGACTTTTGGTCAAATGTAATAAATTTAGGTAATGAAACCCTCCATTAATCACGTTATACATTTTCTAGGGATTATCGGAACACCCCCCTCCCCCTTGGTGATACGTCGTGATATTTAAAATTAACCCCCCTCCTTTCCTAAATATTACGTGTACTTTTAGTTATGTAAAATTTTTAGGACAAATTTTTGGATTTACGAAAAAACGTATTTTTTTTTTGAAAATAGAGGTTAGAAATAATTTTTGACGTAATTTTTCCTATTTTTTTGTCATACTTCCCTTTAAAAGCTTAACGTGATTCATTGACGTCCCCTAATGAGTGATACTTTACAGACATTTGTAAAAATTTACAGTTTTTTTATTTATACCATACGTTTCGCAATTGCTTTGTCATATATAAACAAATCGCAGAATAAAAGCATTAAAGAAAATATTATATTTAATCCTATTTTTACATAGCACATAGAACAAATGTACAAATAGCTATATTTTTGCAATGTTATAAGTATCATTATAGAGTTAAGTACATAATGTACAAACTTTATTAAAATATTTTTGCTTCTTGAAGAATAACATATAAAATCCACTTATAAACGTGGGCAATAAAGAAAATGAATTGATTTCATTTATTAGAAATCTTTTTTTTTATTGAGGATTGAGCAACTTTGTTCTATAATTCAAAACACATAATCGAATCCCTTGAAACGTTCTCTAAAACGACAAGTGATTTTATTAAATTTGGCTGAACGCAATTTCCGACATCATCGCCTAATTGTGCAAATGCTTCGGATGTAATATTTAGCACTTTTTTCAAAGCCTTAGCTGGAGCGGATGCAAAATCCAAAACAGTTTGAGCACATGCCAAAAATTCATCCATATTTGGCAATAAAAGCATGCATTTTTGAGTTTTTTCTGAGACTTGAATGCTAGCAATGCCAGCAGCTTCTAGGGCCACTTGCAGGTCGGCCACGACTTGGATAATCTTAAATTGAATGGCATATCGAGATGTAAATATAATTTATATATATATAGTACTAGTTATTTATAATTTTATAATTCAAAATAATTTCTGCTTGAATTTTATAGTATTTTATTCTACTTTGCGACTTACTTTTTCAGATTGCTCACCAGCGCAAGCAATTAGATCATCGCTCACTTCATAAATCATAGTAAGAACTTTGCTAAATTGTTCTAGAACACATTTTAATGATTCTTCAGAAAAGTTGGAAGAATCCTTGACAGTCAAATAGTTTAGAAAAATCTATTATTAATTATCAAAAAAACTAATTAATCAATTATTTTTAACGCATCCTAATTTACACCTTTAAATTTACCTGTTCTGTTTTTTCATCATACATTGATGGTACATTTGCCGCCTAGAAATTATTTATTAGAAATACAAATTATTATAATATTTTAAATTTGATTTTTATAGCTATAACAAACTTGTGCAAAGACAGCCATCGTAAATGTAATAAGCAAAATCTTGTTCATTTTTCTTGTATTGACCTAATCTTCTACAAACACTTTTTTAATTTGTTGAAAATATAATGCGCTACATAGATTTTTATACTACGTCTTATCAAGATTAGTCTTGATTCAAGACTTCTATGCCCTGCGTACAATTTATATGACATCATTTAATTTTAATTAAAAGTATGAGTTTATGTAGAGATTCTGATCTCATTGAAAAATATGATTTAAAATTTTGATATTTCTGTTTACAATACACAACTTGTAGATATACAATTTTGAGTAACGTGTTACAGTTGAAGAAATATTGACGTAATACATAGATATCAAACAAAAATGATGCAAATTATTCTAAAAATAAATTAAGAATGTACATAGTCATATTATGAACCAATAAAAAACTAGTGAGGTGTATGGCATCGTGCCTTAAGGCAAATTGCTGGAACTTCCCGTACCTAACGCAATGTTCGAGGAATACTGAAGTTTTCAAATAGAATATTATTAATATTGTAACATTGTCTAATATTTATAAGAATTATAGAAACTGAATTGCAAAGTTGAAATTATTTATTTAAAGTATATTACAACTATAGTCACAAACAAAAATAAAATCTGAATTATTTTCGATATACAAAAAAAAAATTGAGAAAAAAAAGTGGAAACTATTTTTTTTCCAAAATCAATTATTTTGTTAAAACAAGCAGAAAGTTCTTTGAATCATTCAAATCGGATGCTTAGTTCTTTCAAAAACTGCCATTTTTTACACATTTAGCTCCGTATCATTGAAAGGGCTGGGCCGGCCTTTGCCAAAAACTAATAAACACTTTTCCCAATCAATTCTAATTGAATGTTTTTTAGATCATTCAAATCGGATGCTCCGTTCTCTCAAAAACTCGATTTCTATTTTCTGCACTCTTTGCTCTTTATCTCCGTAACTGCTGGACCTGCCTTTGCCAAAAACTAATCAGCACATTTCCCTATCAATAGGAATCGAATGTTTTCTGAACCATTCAAATCGATTGGTCCGTGCGCCCGAAAACGTGACTGGAATTTTGTGTCCATACATACATACACACACACGTCCATTTTTTCTGAGGTATGCCAAAATGTTCAGAAACCTTCAAAACGTCGAGAAATGTAAAAATTTTCAATATCGATTTTCGGCCCATTACAATAACTTACCCTACGGGAAGTTAATAAAAGTAAAAAGTTGCAACTTGTGGAGCTCGTTAAATGTTAAAACTTTTCTTCTTCTAATCAAGTAAGTTAAAGATTTAAAATAAAATGCAAATATCAGCATATTATATACCTTTTTGCCAAATTTCTCTATATCGATAAACAATCGTTAATTAAATATTAAAAGCATAACTAAAATAATATAAAACTATTATTACAAACATACCTAAAGGAAGGGCTTCATTTGGCGAGGTCCATACTCTGACTCCAGAATCCTGAAAAAAAAAGAACCTGATTAATATACTTTAATAATAAGTTAATACACATTATGAATTAGAAAAGACAATTTATATAAAAACGTAGAGGATAATAAACAATTAATAAATTCAGTAATAGCATAACATGAATTTATTTTAAGGGTGAGAAATATTTGTAACTCATGCACAGCATTTAAATTTTAAAATTTTGTGTTGCAACTCATAATTTACAAAAGCTTGATATATTTTCACTAATAAATGTTATAATATAAAAATACAAAATGGAAAAAGTAAATATTTTATGAATGAATGCAACAACAAAATAATACATTATCATTATAATTAACAATTTTGGGAGATAGTTGATGAAATAAATAAAATCCTCTTTTAGGAATGCAGGGACGCAGAAAAATAGTTAAAGGACCGCATGCGGCCCGCCGGCCGCTAGTTGCTCATGCTTGTACATATAATGTAATAACAATGCCACGTATTCAATAATGTATTAAAAATGTCAATATCAATATTTGCACTTATAGTAATTGGATATAAACTTATATAATTATAGTAATACCATTAAAATAAAACATGAGCATTATTGTAATTAATTATTCTCAATAATCTCCAAATGACCAAGAAATTCAATTAAAATCATTTGAGTTAAAGAAAAATATAACTACCATGGCAAACAAACATATCAATTAACTCAAATACACACAAATCCACACGTGTGTGGTGTGTGTGTGTGTCTTTGATTGATGGGCCTTAGACATCTTAAGAATTTGTGTTATGCTTCCGACAATAAATTCAAATCAAGAAATTTTTATTCCTCATTTTGAGTAAAACTCAAAATAGATACAAATCTAGACCCTCTACAACAATGACAAAATAATAAATAAAAAAGCCAAATGTTAAAAAAATAATTTATTCAACTAAAAATAATATTTATAGCACGGTTACAATTCGAAGCAATGGACAGCATCTTGGGCAACTTGTTCAATGGCAGTGTTGGCTTCTTCCAACACGGGTTTGGCACACTCCAAAACTTCAGCGCCAAGTGCGGCCAAAGCAGTTGCAGCCTTTTCCAAAGCGCTGGCTAATTCTTGTGCTGGTCCAGCAGCTGAATCAACAACTCCTTGAACACAGTTTCCGAAGTCAATAAAGTTGGGTATCAATTCCAAGCATTGTTGGAATTTTCCAGCGAGTTCCAATCCTGCGGTTCCTGCGGCTTCTAAGGCTGTTTGTAATTCAGCCAAAACAGCTTCCACCTAAGCAAAATTGTACAATTAGCTATATTGAAACTGATTCTAATCTTCGAATTTTATAAAATATTTTAAAATTGGTATCTATAGTTTTATAAATAAAACCTACATCGCCGGCTTGATCACCAGCGCATGCTGTTAGAGAATCTGCAACTTGTTGACCTAAGGCAACAACCTTGTTGAATTGTTCTGTCAAACACTGTTGTGCTGCTTCGGAAAGACCAGGCAAATCAGCCCTCATCTTAAGAGTATTGAGTGCCTTGAAAGTTCAGAAATTATATAATTTACAATTTTACAATTGTCCTATATCTATAACTCTGAAAGTATTACTTACCATCGCCAATTTCTCATTGGGTGCGGTTATGCGTTGTTGGAAAGTAGTGGCCATTCCAGAAACTAAATTAGATGGAACGCTGGCAGCCTAAGGTAATATAAACATTAGCAACATATTTATTACTAAATATGTATTTATTAAAAATAATAATAATTTCACTTACCTGAGCGCAGGCTACTGCGGCCAAAGCGACTATAAAGATTTTGAACATTTTGTATTAAATTTGTTTTTACACAGAACAAACTAAGTTTGATTTTTTTTTCCAATAATCGGGGCCTTTTATACTCAATTTTGTCAGTCTTATCGGTTTTGGAACGATTAAAATCTCACTGGGTTAGGTAAGTATCTGCGTTACTAATACGTGTTACTTGATAATTTTTATCGTCAATAATCTTTTGATTTCAAAATAGGAAGACATTAAATAATAAACTTATGAACGGATTGGTTAAATGTATAATAAAAAATAATATATAAATTTAACAAAGTTAAGGATTATATAAGATATTTTATTTATTAAACTCACACTTGCAACCATCATCTGCACTCGAATTGTATTTTATAAATAAATAATTAAGAACATTGACACGCATATTTTAATTTTCATATATTGTTTATTGTGAATAAACTTTAAATTATATTTAAAAATATTAATTCAAGCAAATGTATTTTGTATTTGAAGTAGAAGTAACGCTGGCTACTTCTACTATTGTCAAATTATTTGTCATATTTAATCTAATTATATTATCTTTAAATTATTTAGATGTCGACTAAAGACAGTTGTAAATTATATGGTGACATAAAAAAGAATTGAAAAAAAAAATTTAAAATGTAGTAATCAAATTAAATAGGTATATTTAAAAAGTAATTTTATTATTAAATTTTATACTGATAAATATGAGAAGATCTAGTTCGGTATAAATAATATTTAAAAAATTACCAGGAGTTTAGATTTTTTTTAGGAAAACATCCAAACACCACAATATAAAGAAATGAAATTGATAGCATCATTTACTAAATACGTCTCTTTGCAATCACATCATACTAAAGACACAACAGATAATTGATTTGCTTTTTACAGATTACAATTTAAATCAACCAAAATGCAACAACTGATTTTTATCATTATCAAATTAATATATAATGACGATCTTTGGTCTGTACGTCAATGTTGTCATAATATTATGATTAATATAATTAAATCTTATTTTTAATCAGAACATTTGTTTCAAAATATTTTTTTTATTGAAAGTGTCACTGATAAAAATGATGTAATAATTTATACTTTAGACCTTTTGTTATCAGCATACTGGACAATTATAATTTAGTGTTGATCTAACCCTTGCAGGAGAAGTAAGAAAATAAAAATATTTTTTTCTTGATATATATATATACATATATATATATATATATATATATATATTTGAGTTAATAAATCAGGCATGGTATCTATCGTCAAAAAATTAATAATAATAATCGACAAAAAAAAAATTTTAACACCTTATTACAAGAAAACGGTCCGGCCGATCTCTACCAAAAACTAATCAGCACGATTCCCAACCAATACCTTTCGAACGGTTTTTGAATTTTTGAAATCGGTCCAGCTGTTTTCGTGAAAACGTCGATTTACGACGACAGATTTAAAAAATCTGTTCACATACACGCACACACATACACATACATACACACACATAGTTTTTCCAAATTTGGTTTCATTCGATTCAGAATGGCTTGAAACGTCGAGAAAACATAAAATTAGCGAATCGGATTTTTGATGAAAACAAACTTCTCCTTCAGGAAGTTAATAAACAATTACTTCAAGTTAAGACTCATGAGATATAGTAAATCAATTCATTATATATATTAACTTAACGCTTCCAAATATTTGTAGACATCTTTGTTCATCAGTCTTTGTTCTTCATTAGGTGAAACGCTAGCGGCCTAAGTTAATAAAAATATTAGCATTGAATTTATTGTTGAATAGTAATTATAATAAATAATACTTATTACAGTTACCTGAGCACAGGATATTGCAACCAAAGCGACTACGAAAATTTTGTATATTTTGAATTGAATAAGTATTTTTCGCTGAGCAAACCAATACTAATATTTTGGCTTTTGATAAATCATATATTATCTTTTAACATCCCGCAGGGTAAAAGAGTTAACTGTCCAAAAATGAATTTTTTTGCATATCTTTACGTTTCGAAGGTTTGTGAGTATGTGTATGATGTGTATGTGGAATTTTTCGCCGACGTTTTCGGAAGCACCGCTCAACCGATTTGAATAATTCAAAAACATTTGATTTATACTTATAAGTGCTGATTAGTTTTTGGGAAAGGTCTATCCAGTCGTTTCGGACATACAAAGCAAAAGAGTGCAAAAAATGGAATGTTCATACCGAAATTTCTGTTTAATTTTATCTCATTAAATATATCGTCAACACCTTAGTTTGTAAAATCAAAATTTATCAGTGATTTCAATTTCGATGGTATAATAAGATTTAATTTAATATTTCACATAATTATTCTCAACATAAAATCAATATTCAGATAGAAATAGTACGAACGGTAACGTATTGTACTATTTAGCAAAAAAATATTTATACATTTACCACATTATAATATAATATATATATATATATTTACCACATTATAATATATATATATATATATATATATTGTTTATTTATTATAGCAATCTATACAGTGTACATTAGGCTAAAATATTTGACAATTATGAAAATTGCGTGAGAAGGATAACTACCCGCTGATAGCTCCTTCTAATTACAATGTCTTAATTATTAATTATAAAATATTCATTCAATACACATATTTATATATATATATATATATATATATATATATATATTCAATTAATATTATGTAGTATTTCATTGCAAGTTTGTTTCTTGAGTCGCTTCGGTGGAACTGGTCTGAGCAGGTCATTCGCCAATTGGTTTGGATGATGTGTTAGTCGGTACTTGTATTTGATGCAATACTGGTGAATCTCTTCCTGAATTGTTGGTATGCGCAGATCTTGATGTAACAGTCAGATAGGAACATAATTTGGGGCGGTTGCAATCTGTTTTAAAATTTTATTCTGGAATCTCTGCAAATTGTAATATTTGACTTACTGGCCGCACCCCAGAGTTGCAAGCCGTAAGTCCAAATTGGCTTGATAATAGTTTTTGTAAATTAGTATTTTGTTTTCAATGGAAACTTGCGATCTCCAGCCAATTAGCCAGTATAGTTGCCTACGCGTGAGTTCAAGCTGCTGGCGTTTCTTAATTATGTTTTCACGCCAGGTGAGTCTCCAATCCAAGTGGATCTCCAGATACTTGATTGCATTTGTTTTGAGGTACCGACACATTATTAAATTATTAAATGTGACTGTGGGATACGAATTATGACGGAAGGTGAAACAGATGTGCGCAGGTTTAGTGGTGTTGACTTTTATTCTCCAGGTATTTAGCCAATTTTCTAGCTGATTGATGTGCTGCTGTAAAACTGTGGCTGCGAGTCATGTTGGGCTAAAATACTCGTATCATCGGCAAAGGTGGCAATGATTGTATTTGGATTTACTGGTAAAATATACAAAATATGTTCTCCAATGTTTAAAATATAAAAGAAATGTTGTTCCTCGACATTTAATGATCAGAAATCGCTGCATCGCTGGTTGTCTGGTGTATGGGACGCAATACTGCATTAGTTTAATGAATTATGATCATATTTAGCATAAGGTACCCAAGTATAAAATTAGAGTTTTTATTAATAAATATAGAAGGTGTACTATTTCAAAATAAATGCATTAAGTGTTTTTAAAAATTAGTTTTATTGGTCAAACTGCTACATAAATGGGCTGAAACATCACCCCACAAATACAAATAGCAATTTGCTGATCATAACACATTTTTTAGGCAATTTATAGCATGTTATCAAATTTCTAAACTGATTAAGTTATCAGTAAGTTTCAAGCAGTCAGCACTGTCCTTAAGGAGTTTGTCTCAAGTTGTCCCTAAATACTTCCAGGGCTCTTGGTTGGCATTTTTCTACTTCGTTATAGTAGTTGCCCAATGCGGACCAGTTTTTGAGTGCATTGGACGATTGTTCGGTGTGAGGCCAAAATCAAAAACCTAATATGAATAAAATAAATTTAATAACTATATTTGAACAATCTATTAAGGTTCAGTATTACAAATAGTTAATTTAATATTTTTGATGACCTATAATCCTATATATAATACCGAGAATGAATATGTTTAAATCAATAAAAGTAGAAAAGGGTGTTAGATTAGTTAAAGCAAAGTTATCTAAAACTAATTGATTCTAAAACCTTAACATAACAAAATTTGTTACTTTGCTAAAAACAATTAGATTTTTTAAAGTAATGATTGTGAAGTTTCATTTATCTTACTCGTTGCAAGCAAGTTATGGCAGAAACCGAATTATCGTTCTCTACGCACTGCTTGACTATAGGGCCAATTTCTAGGCCTTCCTTTGTGCGAAGATCATCGAATATTTTTAAGTTATCATTCCTACAACCCTTAGTCTTAGAACGAGTTTCTTGTGCAAATCTTGGGCCTTTTGCTGATGGTCTTCAAGGCATTCCTTGGCGGTGTCACTCACGTCCTTGTTAAGTTCACTTTTAATTTCTTTATTGAACTACAATTGAAGAAGCAATTTGTTTAAGTTAGGAATCTGGAGGTATGGTGAATATTACGACGTTTTAAACTTACACTTTTTAAAGTCCTATCGATTTCGGAGAGTTGATTGACCCCGACCTAAGTTAATATAAATATCAGCAATAAATTTATTGTAAAATAGTTATTTTTAACAGATAATTATTATTGCATATACCTGTGCATACGCTACTGCGACCAAAGTGACCATGAAGATTTTGTACATTTTGAAATAAATTAGTTTTTTTCACTGGACAAACTGAATCTAATTTTTTCTTCAATCAACGAGACTTTTTATATACAGTCTTATCAATTTGAAACGATTAAGAGTATTAAGACCACATGAAAATGTATAAAACGTTTGTATCCATATTAATAGTAATAAAGTTGTTAAATTAATAAAAAAGAATAAAATATTACTGGGCTAGATAAGTATCTGGGTTACTAATACGTGCTTTTTGCTAATTTTTATTGATAATAATCTTATGGCTTTGAAAAAGAATCAAATAAATACAATGTTACAAACAATTGAA